GTTTCGCGGTGTTTTCACATCGCTCGACGATTTAAGACGCGATGATATGGTTATTGACAAGCATGCGACGTGCGAAAATACCAAAACACTTGGCATCGCGAGTCGTTATCGCTCGTTAATTAATGACGGATATAATCGGTGGCCACCAGAAAATCGTCAGAAATCGCCACCATAAATGCTCTTAAATATTTCAGATCTCCAGATCTAATTTTTCATTATAACCCCAAATGTGGATTAGAAATAGAAATAGAATTACAAATAGAAGATAAAAATACGACATTAACTTCAAGGAACACGTGTAAAAAGTGTCGTCTTTAGTCGAAATATCTCAGCTTCCGAATAATCAATCTACTTATAATTGCGCCAATAATTAGATCGTATTCAAATCTATGTATAATGCAAGTTTCAGCGAATTCTTAAAAAACTCATTTTGTACTACAGCTAGCTTAACTCCCTGTGTTTCCGATCAACTCTCACTTTTTCCAGCTGCCTCCAGGAATGGAATGCGGGACGTAACGGCGGTCAACCACGAGGCTTAAAGCACCTTAAAAATAAACGAGATTTTCCACTGGTCCTTCAAGTTCGACGGAATTCGTCGGGTTAATGTAGGGTTAAAGTCTTGATTCGGGATGGAACGGGGGAATCGCGACACCATGACGTTTTTATCGCTTCTTTCCTCCGGAAGCCGGGTGTCCTCTGTGTAAAAGGCGTTACCTCACGAGGCATTCTCGTTGCCGGTTATCGCCGGTGTGTAAAACGAACTAAACGGACACACGACGGCGGCTTCCGGTGCTTCCCGACCTTGGGAAAGATGTCCCCGTCGGTCGTGGCGATCGACCCGACGAGGATCGCGACGTCGTGGAATGCCCGAATCATGCTCCCTAATTCCTCGATGATTCGAGAGAGCCAGCTCTCGATCGTCGTATACGGCGCGATCGTCTCCGATCTGTCCTGAGGAGAGGTATCCCGCGGGGCAGGTAGCCGCACTCTTCCCCGCGCGAGGGGAGCGGAGACTTCTGTCAGCGTGGCCGATTATATCTACGCGTTTATCTACGCCTGTGTGTCGGACCGCAGAGAGATAGCCGAAATGTCCTGTCTATGTACGAGAACATGCGGCTCGTTTATGTAATAGGGGGAGGAGGTTCCTACCGTGGAGAGCGCGCCCGGCGGTGGGCCCCGGCGGGGATCGGAACCGGGGAAAGGACGGGGGAGAGATTCTACGATTTCTTCGATCATAAATCTATCCGCGTGGGAGAAGAGACGCTGATATCGCGTGGGGTCTCCGTTCAGAGACGAAGGTATATCTCGGGCGGCCGACGGTGATTTTTCGGAGGGAAAGCAGGATTTCGGGTTCTGATACTCCCGATACTTTTTACCTCTTCATTCCTGCCCCCGACACGTGTAAAACTCTCGTGAGAGTGAAAGAGAGAAGAGATAGGGAATATTTCGGCGTAATCTACGAGAGAAACCAGAATCAGGGATCTCTCCGGTCCTCTAAATTTTACTTCGAAGCAGCAATCATTTCCTTATTTGCAACGTCAAAGGAACACAATGGAAGACCTTTGAACATTTAATGTAGAACTAAATTAGACTTAAAGTAAAATTGAAATGTCGATTCTGGACGTTACATTAATTTTCATGAAGCAAAATATACGACATATGGGAGGCCAACTTAATGAAAAATGAACATAAAGAAGATACCGGAAAAATATCGAGACAAAATAGTACAGGCATGAATATCGAGAGGAAATATATCGATAGAAAAATATCTGGTATTGAAAGAGAAATATCGAAATCGGTGTTAAATAAATAATATCGCAACATTCCTAGCCAAAATATGCGAACCTGTTCTTTCACCGAAGCTCTCTTCGAGTTTTTTTCGCGCAGCTGCCGGGAAATTTGAACGACGTGCGCATCGGCCGCGCGTTGGCAGCTGACAAATGGCCGACAAATTCGGAGGGTGGAATTAATATTCATATTCACGGTCGAGCCATTTATTGCGCCGCGGTGCAATATCGACGACTCGAGTCCCTACATTGCCCCGGCTGCGTTAGGACACAAGGGCGGGCCACGCGTATCCTGGTATTTAATTACCGCGAACTGAACCGAGGGGTGAGCCGCGCACGCCGAGCGTTTGATTATTTATCGCGCGAATATCCCGCTGGCTTTTCACGCGCTCGCTCGCGGAGGCCGTCAAAAGTCCGTTGAAATTCGTCCAATTTCTCCTTTGTTGATCTCATTTTACTTCACGTTTCTTCCTACTTTTTCGCTCTAACGTCTCGCGAAGGAGAGAGCGAAATTGCGCTAATAAATTTGCAAACGCGAGGCCGTCGAGGCTGGGCGAAATAGGAACCGGTGAATAAACTATCGACCAAACAAAAGCAAAGTTCGGTAATTACAACAGCATAGTATATTCTACGGTCTGGCGATAAATCTCGCTCCTCTCTCTCTCTCTCTCCCTCTCCCTCCCCAGCTATCTCGTCTCTTCTCCCATTCTTCCTTATATACAAGGTGTTCCCACTATTATCCCGTACTATGTTTCGTACAAAATTCTCCGAGGGATCCCACTCGTTCGTGATGCTGAAATTTGTATCACAGGTGAATTGAACGCGCGTTCCGATCGCGTTAGCAATTAACTTTCCGACATTCGACTCTCTCGTTAGTGGAAACTCGAATCTATTTTTTTTTCCTGACGAAAACGACCACCCCGTGCATCGACCGTTCTTATCCGGGGATCGTGACTAAGACGCTCGGTTGTCAGACGCGCGAAGATTTATTTTATTATAATGCTAGATTTACCGGCGGCTACCGTTTATTGAAATCGGCGCCGATCGGAGATTACGACGGGACGGCGGGGCAACGTCCGCCGTCATTACGAGGCGCTTAATTACCGCTCATAAAGCACGACGCTCGACAAGGCCGACACGTTACAAAGAACGCTCCTTCGGCGAGCGCAAAGTTATCTCGTGCGCGCGCACGGGCGTGCGATAGGCTCGGCGAAGCTTAAATGCATTCCGAAAATCACGTCTCGGGTTTAAATGCCGCATAAGTCCCACGCAGGAAAAAAAATTGGGATTATCGTCGGCCGCGGGGAGAAATTGAGTATCTTCCGCTTAACGGAGCGGGTTTTTATTGGGGAATCGATTTGAGTTTTATCGTGCCGATGATGGGTCGAGCGACAATTAAAAATAAGTGGGCACTTCCACCGCCGTAAATTATTCGCCACGAGACATTCATCTGTTCTTTTTTTTTCATGCGAGAGGAAAATTACTTCAAGCGGAGATTTCCCAGTCGTAGTTTTACTTCGACCCGATCGTCGCACAGGAGCGAAATTATCCCGATTCGAATTAACAGACACAAGAGAATGTAGGAAACCAGGAAGCACGGCATCGTCACTCTTCACATGGGTCTCACGTGGTTTCCTGCCGGTAGTTTTTCCGCGTCTAGCCGGCATATGCACGATTGCGTAAGAAAACAGAGGGATCATACGGGAACAGTAGAAGAAACGGAACAGACTGATTTATGCCGCCGGGGCGATGTCCCGACGAAAGTCGACGAGGCTGAATTGCCGGACAAAACGCGACCCCATGTAAAACGTTTATAGCGCGCAAGTTGACGTAACCGTCGTATGATCAATCGTGAACATCGTTAAAATTAACATAACGTCTCGTTTCGTTCCAATTCTTCTCAGTTTTTTACTTGTAATATAAGAAGATGAAGGGAAGAATCATTGGTAAAATGAGCCGACTTTAGCCAGAGTGGCAAGTAAAACCAATATTTTTTCTGTAGATGGGTTTTACCCATCGTCCTTTCTAATGCAAGAAGAGCTTTCTTGCGTCTCGAAAAATCGAATCGGTTTTCGTATCTTCGTGCGTCAAAAAAAGAGATTAATTTTCGGGAGAAAATTCCAAAAGATGTAGCACCGCCACGATTTAGCGCTGTCTTCGGAAAAATTCTGATTTTGACTATTTTTCTTATCTAATCATATATACATACATACATACATATAAATATCATATAACAAGCAGCAACCGATAAAAACTCAGCAGTAATAACTTACTAAACGCTATTCGCTCCGGGCAGACGCGGCCAGCGAACATATGCTTTACACGTGATAACGCGCGTCGATCATCTGCGCGCGTTTCCTCCTCGTCCGAAGTGACGAAGTTAATTGCTCGTTTTCTCATCTCGTTAGCGTTACTTCCGCCCGCGCTCGGAAAACAAATGCGAAGCCCACGTGTTACGAGCTGAAATTAATGCTCTCTGGTTATTACGTTGCATGCAGAAGTTTTCTCGTAGAAAACGGTCAAACGGACCCCGGCAGGCGTCCGTCTCGCATCTTCTCGGTCGATTGAGAATTCTGCGAAAATTCCCCGAAAAAATGCAATTCAAACGAGAAATAGGAGGAAATGAGAAAAAGGACATCTCTACGCGCACGCATACACAACGAAACGAAGCAGTTTAGCAGCGCATTCATACACAGTGTCGCAACGTATAACTCGCTTACCTGCGTCTTTCCGGAAGAGGCGAGATGAAAAACCAGAGGCCCGAAGAACAGAAAGCGGATTAAACTTCCTGTTCTTATTAGATGCTCGATTAACTTTCCCGCCTGAAGCACCACTGAATCCAGCCGTGTGTAATTAACTCGCGCGGACGTAACGAACCGCGAGAACGTAAAATTCTATTTTCTACGGCGGGAATATCGCTCCCCAAAGGAGGATCGAAATAAATTTTTGGAGAGGAGCAACATGGGAAGGGAGCGCAATGAGATGTATCATGTACGACACCGATAATAATCGTAACGTAAAACGATTAAGAACGATCAAGAAATTCAGAGAAATCGGAGGATTACGAAAATTGGAGACTATTCGGAAGTTGGAACGACGAGAGAACATCGATTAACGGACGGCAAATGGAAGGAGCGACGATGTGATATGCGAATTGTTTATTTAACAATCAGCCTGGCGATAACATGAGAAAAAGAGAGAGAGAGACGGCTGCTGCTGTGCTAAGGGTAAGCGACACGGTGGCACGATGACACCGAATAAATGCTAAACGATGACGTAGGCGGGTGGATGGAAAGATCCGAGATGGCGGGATAAGAAGTGCGAAAGAGGTGCAGCCGGGAGTGCAAAAAATAGCTGACTCGTCGGGTAATAACTATTTTAATTTGCTAACCGGGGGGACTTCAGAATATTTGCGGCGCCCATTGTTTATCATACATTAATAATAATAATTAATATATAATAATAATAATAATTATTATATATATATATATATATAATATTTATATATATATGGCAAGATCATTGGTCAATAAATACTTTACTTAAGTCGGCAGCTAAATTTGCCAAATAATTATCCGTACGGTGCCTCGATTCCCGACTTCGTCGAAACTTCACCAGAGGATCCACTCGCTTTTACGGCTGAATCCTCGAGTACGGATAGCCTGTTCTCGTTTACCTCCTCAAATAATTACTCGATCAATTAATCTAGGATCACACATACATTCGCAGGAGAATCGAGAACACTCGCCGATTATTTGGAAAACTTAGATGTGCCTTCCGACGGTCTAAATCGCACTACGCTATTGTACCAGCCGAAGACGATTCTCGGCCGCGTTCCCACGGCACGGATCCTCTCAATGTCGGACAGCAGTCACTATGAAGGTAATAGTGCGCGCAAGTATTCGTCTAATACTATCTGAATTTACGCTAATAGTAGAGCCTTAAGAGACGTAGGTAACACTATGTACACGACAACGACGAGCGCTCGACGACGCCGTCGCAATTTACTCAACAAAATTCCCCTCTCATTCTCTTCTTTCTTTTTTTAACCACGGTTTTTTTAATCACGTCAACGAGCGTTCTCACTAATCGACGTACGAACATCGTTCAGTCGTCGTCCGAATTTAAGAAAGCCGTACTCTTCCTGCTGATCTCCAGCATTCGATCCTAGAACCAGTAGAGGTCCTTGGAGTCCTGCACCTGAGACTCGAGTCCTGCAACACACGGAACAGAACAAGTGTTGTTAAGCGCGCGCACCATGCCGCTTCCTGTGCTGTACAGGAAGAACCTCCGCTCGCAGTAAGATCTCAAATAAGCGAGTAACACACGAGCGATCAGCTGTTTCGAAGCGCCCTTCCTAGAGCCGAGAGACGTCTCTCCTGTCGTTGCACGGAATTATTTATCGGCGTCTCGCGTCGCGTAATAAAAGGAGAGACAACGTTATGACGGATGCGAGGGTGCAGAACTGGTGATGGCACCCGCTGAGCAACACGAACGGACAAACGGACGAACGGACAGACGAGCGGACGGACGGACGAGCGAGTAGACAGATGGGCCCGATGTCACGAGAGAGCGGCCAGTTAAGATCTCATGTTCCTTGCGGCCGAATTTATCTCTTATCTCGATATACCGAAGGGTGAAGCGCCAGATCATCGTCGCCGATACAGAGTCCTTAAGTGGTCTCCGAGGAGGGAGGGACGAGGACGTTGGGATCGTGAGGTACAATCCGTCGTCCACAGTCCGACAATTTTACGAAGCGGACTCTCTCTTTCTCACACACACACACACACACACACACAAGCGCTATTGTTCTGCGATTATTTCAATAAGATCGAACGATGAAGATAACGTTAACGATGACGTCGAAGTTATTCTTCTAACGTAGGGAAGGTTGGGATAGTGTTATTTTCTTTTTAACAGTTGATAGTATACTTTTGACTGAAACACAGCTGATGTGATTTTGGACACCGTTTTGGTATAAAAAAGTCAATCAGAGATAGTTGGGACACTTCATCGAGGGAGAGTTATCTTCCTTAAAAATATGTCTTGCGCTTTTCCATAGGTATTCAACTTACTACATCAGTCATAATATTATCATCATTTTTCCACGAAACATTGGTTTTTATTGTCTTTTTTATAACAGCTTTAACGAATAATTTTTATTTGATACTTTAATAAATGTTACTTTAATGAGTGATATTAATAAATGTTACAATAAAAAAATAATAAATGCGTTAATAATTTTATTTTAATTAAGGCGTAGTTATTTCTATTACGTTGTTTCCAATTCTTCCCTCATCTGTCCCAACTCTACCTGGTATAAGGGAGATCTGGGACAAATATTTGACTTCATAATTTATTTAATTGCGTTCTTAATTATTAAGATAAGTCATTCAAATCTGATACGCACTTCCTCGGTAGAATAACAAATCTGTCTCAATTTTTGCCGTTGCGAAATTTTGAGAAACAAAAGCTACAAAAGACAAAATGTCAAAATTGTCACCCTCAACCGACTCACCCTCTTCTTCCCTACTGTGGTATGGTCGACTTGAGACGACTACGCGATTAGAGATGGTCGTAGACACGGATCTGCCCTTGCAATTTCTACTCCAATATTTTGTGATCAAGATATATTTATGTATATACGAGGTCTGTTCCAAAAGTATTGTGAATTTTGTATTTTTTCAAAAATTATTTATTTATTCATGAATATCTATTTTGTCTCCTTCAAAGTAATCCCCATCAGATATTATACACTTGTGCCAACGTTTTTTCCAATCCTCGAAGCACTTCAAAAAATCATTTTTTGTGATCTTGTTCAGCTCCTCCTTCGATGCCGTCTTTATCTCCTCAATCGTAGCGTAGCGTCGTCCTTTCATGTGCCTCTTCAGTTTCGGGAACAAGAAAAAGTCACAGGGGGCCAGGTCTGGGGAATACGGTGGCTGCGGCATCATTAGT